CCCGGGGCAGAATTACGGAAGGGGAGAACGGAGTTTCCCGTTTCCTTTTAATTCTGCTGTATAGTTGCATCCAACAATCTCCTTCTTGGTTTTTCTTTTGGTTGTTGTTCTTGAGTGAGGTTTTCTAGATTTCTGTGTTAGATTTAGCTTTCTTTCCCCCTTTCTATCTATTTGATCATTTGGAGCAAGCTCATTGTTAAACGTAATGGCTTAAAAACATTTGCTAAACCGAAAGGCACCTCCCCTCAGTCAGCAGATTTTGATTTTTAAAATACTACTACTACTACTACTACTACTACTACTACTACTACTACTACTACTAATAATAATAATAATAATACTACTATACTACTACTACTACTCCTAATAATAATAATAATAATAATAATAATAATAATAATAATAATAATAATGCAGACATAAAAATGTTAGCTGGCAAACATCTTGGGTATGAAATAAGGGGGTGATGATTGTCTCAGATGGTCTTCACTCCGACATGTGAGAACATTGCAAAATATCTATTGAAATACATACAGAACACACACACACACATAATTCATTTTAAAATACTGTTTTCATAAGCAATATATAAAGAAATATAATTAGTATCAGACACATTAGCTAATTAATCTGCTGCTTTTTTAAAAAATTGGCTATCAGCCTCCTCAAAACTCACAGTTTGGTGTAGTGGTTAAGTGTGCAGACTCTAATCTGGGAGAACCAGGTTTGATTCCCTGCTTTTCCACTTGCACCTGGCTGGATGACCTTGGGCAAGCTGTAGTTCTGATAAGAGCTGTTCTTGAAAAAGAGCAGTTTCTGTCAGAGCTCTCTCAGCCCCACCTACCTCACAGGGTGTCTGTTGTGGGGAGGGGAAGGGAAAGGAGTTTGTAAGCCGTTCTGAGACACCTTTGAGTAGTGAAGGGTGGGGTATAAATCCAATCTTCTTCTTCTCTTCTTATATAATCAATTATTATTATTCCTCTGAGTTCCACTCCTAAGGAAAAGATGGGGGACGAGAGAGTCCCCACATTATAGAGAAGCGGATCTGCCTTTCTCTGAAAGTTATTAGCTATGGAGCTCTTCCTGCTAGTTCGCCCACATGCACTCCACAAGGCGGTCAGTTAGTGTGACTAGATAGACATCTGTTTCCCGGATGGAAGTCAAGAATAATAGTGCCATTCTATGGGGACCAGATTTGCTGGTGGTAATATGCTGTGGTTTTCCAAATAATAATAAAAAGTTACAAGCATCTTATATTTTAAAAAATCCAGGGCTATTTTTGGGCAGGAACGCACAGGAACGGAGTTCCGACTGGCTCCCAAGTTGACCATGCCCAGCAGGAACACATTAGCATAATAGGCCACACCCAACAGCAGAAACTCATTCGGACTGGCTACATTAGGGGTGTGTGGCCTAACATGCAAAGGAGTTTCTGCTACAAAAAAGGCCCTGGGTTTTGACAACAGATAAGGTCAACAGAATAACAAGCAAAAGGTGGGTGTGGCTGGATGACCACACTTCTGGTAACATGGGGGTGCGGCCTAATGTGGTAATGAGCTGTGCTGTCAGGGGTGTGGCCCAATATGCTAATGAGTCCCTGCTGTTGGGTGTGGCCTATTATCCTAATGAGTTCCTGCTGGGCTTTTTCTACAAAAAGAGCCCTGAAAAAAATCAATATAATTGGAGTAAAGAACAAAGCTGACCTGACTCGACTTAGGGGGTAGCCCAGTAGGGTAGCCCGGATGAACAGGCAATCCATTCTTGCTTATTACAGTTGGACATTTTCATCCCTCCTCCCCTTTCCTCTGAGAGTGTTTCATGTTCTAAATTAGAATTGCAACGATCATCTTCTGCTGCTGCTAGTTTTTGTTTCGTTTTGCCTGCCGTGTGTTAAGAAGGAGAGAGAAAGAGGCCCGTATGATTGTCACGATGTCCTTCGGAATACATCAGTTATTCTGTCTTAACTCAATCTCTCTGTCCGAGGCAGTCTGGAGAGCTGCCTCAGACGATGTAATGTTGTGTTTGCTAAATTGTGTTATCGGCACATTTTTGTAGCGCAATCTGAGATGTGTAAACAAAGCCAGCGGGATGCAGATCCGGCTGCCAGATGAGAGCCTTCACAGTTGCGAGCTGCAAGAACAGGCTTGTCCTGGAAAAATCATCTCTCTCTTTCTCTCTTTTAAAAAAAATTCTGTTACCGATAAGAATTGGTCAGAAGTTAGACAAAGCCAGACAAAATGGCTGGGCACCGTCAGCAGATTTCTAAACAGAATAATTAGGGTTCAGCTATCCCGACTCGAAAGAGATGGCCTACGCCCTGAAAGCTTTGTGGCTCGTGATCGATTGAAACTTTGGTGGGATCTATGTGGAGTGGCAAAACTGTGCCCTTGCCGCCGCCGCGGCAGTCGACAGTGCGGGAACAGTGTCCGCGTACCCATGTTCCCATACTGCTCTCTGCTGCCACCACCCACAGCCCGACTCTTCCCTGTCGTGCTTACTCAAAAGCACAGATGCAACCTTGGCTTGCCAAGACCCCCTACAGCCAGGAAATCCTCCCTCGTTCTCTACCAAACACCACACTACAGCTCAGCAGGGAAAGGGGGGGGGGGAGTCCTTGAAAGGGCTAAGGGGAGTCTGTGCTGTTTTGGAAGTGTTGCTTAGCTCTATCCCATTCCCTATAGTGACAATTGAAAGAATCATCCACCCAGGGACTCCCCTGTGGCAATGCAGAATATTCCCTGTTGAGTTGGATTCAAACAGCTCTAGGATTGCTATGAGTCATGCTCAGAATGAACAGCTCTGGAATTTAGTGTGCAGGTTTCCTGGTTGTCATGCAGGGAAAAATCCCCATGTGGTAGCATCCTTTGTCAGATGACGGTTCCCAAATTTATACACGCTAAAAACATAAATGTGGAACAGTTTTATGGAAGACTGAGGCACAGACGGACTCCCTCATCTGCCTCCGGACTGTCTCCTGCAGTTAGTTTCAGAGAGTAGCTATGTTGCTCTGTAGTAGAAGAACTTGATTTGACTCCAGTAGCCCCTTTGGAGACCAACAAGATTTTCAGCATGCAAGTTTTCAAGAGTCAAAGCTCTGTTTGGCGGGTACAAGTAGGTATGGAGATCTATGAGTCTTTATATCCCAGTGGTGCTGCAAAGAAAAAAGTCAGGATAATAACAATAATTAATAATTATTGTATGGCATTGTGTGTAGTACAGCAGGAGAGCCTAAGATTGTCTGGCAGCCAGAAGTTCTAGCTCTGAAGCATTATGCACCACCAGGTGGCGAGCTAGACTTGATTTTAAGGCAAGAGGCATTTCAGAGGTGGTTTGCCATTGTCTGCCTCTGTGTCATGCCCCTGGTATTCCTTGGAGGTCGCCCTTACAAATACTAGTCTAGGCCGACCCTGCTTAGCTTCCAAGATTGAGCTAGTCCGGGCTATCCAGGTCAGGACAGAAGTCAGGATGCAGAAGTATAATGCAAAATGTAATCAGCTTGATTAGAGCAGGGGAGAAACATCTGAGGGCAGAAAATTAGCATCAGTAATGAGACAAGAATCCCATGTCCTTATTCAGCCCCGAGGGGTCCATTTTTCTTGTCTCTAAGGTGCTATTGGACTCGAATCTAGCTGTTCTCCTGCAACTGACTTCATGCCTTCCAAGGATGGTACATGGATGAGGACCCTTGAGTTTTCTTCACCTTCTGCAGTGAAAGAAACAACAGGATTGCCCTTTTAGTTACACAACTTCTAGAAGATGCATAAATCTTCGGAGGCATTAACAGAAGCATTGTGTCCAGATCACGGGAGGTAGTAGTTCCGCTCTATTCTGCTATGGTTAGGCCTCACCTGGAGTACTGTGTCCAGTTCTGGGCACCACATTTTAGGAAGGATGTTGACAAGCTGGAGCGTGTCCAGAAGAGGGCAACCAGGATGGTGAGAGGGTTGGAATCCAAGTCTTCCGAGGAAAGGCTGAAAGAGTTGGGTATGTTTAGCCTGGGAAAGAGAAGGCTTAGAGGGGACATGATTGCAGTCTTCAAGTATTTGAAGGGCTGTCATGTAGAAGATGGAGCAGATCTATTCTCTCTTGCTCCGGATTGCAAGACTAGATCTAATGGGTGGAAATGACAAGGGAGTCGATACCGGCTAAATATCAGGAGAAACTTCCTAACTGTAAGAGTGGTTGAGCAGTGGAACAGACTGCCTCGGGAGGTGGTGGATGCTCCTTCGCTGGACATTTTCAAGTGGAGGCTGGACGACCATCTTTCCGGTGTGTTGTAGGGCTATCTTTCAGCTATGCTCCTGCTGATCGCAGAGGGTTGGACTAGATGACCTGCAAGGTCCCTTCCATCTCTAACATTCTATGATTCTAAGATCCACGGGATTCATGTAAAGTTTTGTCTCTTTTAGCTGCGCTGAAATGTCTTTGAATTTCAGATGACCTGAAGCATCTCCTGCCAACACAACAATACTCAATGATTAGCACCTGAAAATATTTCTTGAGATGTATGTAGGACTATAGGAAGTGTTCTAAGATTCCCCCACCTACAATCCAGACCAGTGCTCCCTCAAAGCTGTGGAGTCTTGTGAGCCAAAATTCTACTTTGTGAGCTACTGGCATTAGAGTTGTGCACGAGCGATTTGGCTGCCGCATCAATCAGTTTGCTCTGGAGCCATCCTTCCTGAGCTAAGAGAAAAATCTGTGAGCCGGAGGCTAAAAAACTGTGAGCTAGCTCACTATAACTCAGCTTAGAGGGAACACTGATCCAGTCCTGTGTGGGCATTTGGATTTTTAACCTGGCTGTACTGAATGCTTTTGGCATACTGTATTACATGTTGTGTTCTGACCTTTATTGTCTGGGACAATTTGAGAAAAATTGGATTTCTTTTCTTTTCTTTTCTTTCTTTCTTTCTTTCTTTCTTTCTTTCTTTCTTTCTTTCTTTCTTTCTTTCTTTCTTTCTTCCCTCCCTCCCTCCCTCCTTTTTGCTTAATATATCTAGGAATCCGAAAAGAAAGGCTTAAGAGAAAGAATTTACATGGTCCAGGATATCGTTATAACGGTCCAAAACCTCTTGGAAGATATTGCATCTTTTGCAGAAAGGATAAAAAAGTAAGTGAAAGTTTTGGGTTTGCCCGTGACTGTGTGCCCCCTCCTCCATTTTTTGAAAGGTTTTCAACAGTTCCGTTCTTTTAATAAGAGCCGTGTGGGGTCTAAAAATACAACAAGCCCAGCTGTGATTCTGCAACATCTGGCCCAGCTGTGCGGGAAATGGGCAGGGGGATGCCTTCGAGCCCGTGAACGGAGCACTGTTCTGTGTGCAGCTGTGTGGCAGGAAGGTTCGGGAAGCCGGGTGACTCGTAATTCTGGCATTTGCTTTGACGACAATGGTCCCTAAGAACCCCGATAGGGCACTCGGACGGCTGCCCTGCCTAATCCCCCAGGAATCCGATTGTAACCCGGCAGTCGTGTTGCTGTGAACAGGCGAGAGGGCAGAAGGAGTCCACTGGAGTGGTTTTAACAAGTGACACGACCGTTTAGACAAGCACTGCCATCGGTATAACCCCTTGCATCAAAGGGACTTTTTAGTCGCTCGGTTCAACTCGGAGGTTTGGTGGCCTTAAAAATAGTTTCCATCTGTTTATGGGCCGCTATTTCATCCTGGCTTTAACTTTAAATGTGTAGTGCCTTCCTCTGAAGGGTGGCATTATTTCCCCCAGTCCACCCCGGTCAGCTTTTTATCCCTCAAATAAGACAAAGTGTTTTTCATAGCTCAGTCTGGCACTCTTTGGTCGAGGTCTTCTCGTGCACCCGCATCATATATTAAGTATATCCAGCAAACATCCAGCAACCAATTTCTTTTAAAGGTATAATGTTTATCTATTTTAAAGGTATAATGTTTAGCTGCGGTGGCTCAAGTGGTTAAGACGCTGAACTGCAGGCTGTGGAAGGTCAGTAGTTCAGCAGTTCGAGACCCGAGTTGCTGCATGACGGAGTGACTTCCCGTCTCTAGTTCCAGTTCTAGTTCGAAAGCAAGAAATTGCAAGTAGATAAATAGGTACCACTTCGGTGGGAAGGTAACAGCGTTCCGTGCGCCTTGGTGTTTAGTCATGCCGGCCACATGACCACGGAAACATCTTCAGACAGCGCTGGCTCTTCGGCTTTGGAACGGAGATGAGCACCGCAACCCTAGAGTCGGATTCAACTGGCTTTCGAGCAAGGGAACCTTTACCTTTATACCCAAATTCAGGTATACCTCCAATCTCTGAGAGGTTCGGTTTAACATAGACAATTGTTCCTTGGGCTTCCTTTAACTTCTATGGCCTGGTTCACACATGCTTGGCCCCTGCTTGCCCCATACTTGGTTACTATAGACTGAAACTGGAAGTTATAGAGCAGGTTGCTTGACTCTCACCAGCCTCATCTATACTCCTGTGGTCTCCCCGGTAACCTCTAGTCAACTAAAATGTGTAAAGTCATTTGCTTTTGCTGCCACTGATCCACCTAATTGTCTGTCCGGAAACTAAAGTTGGTGCAGAATGTGGCAATCAGAGTGCTGACTAGGGATGGGCACGAACCACATTTTTGCAGTTCGGTTCGTGGTTCATAGCTGAACCGTGAACCAAGCCACCGGATAGGCCAGCTCATGAACCAAACTGGTTTGTATTGGTTGGTGAGTCATTTAAAGTTTAAACTCCTGTCTTCTGCTCCCTGTGAAAAATGGCGGGGAGCAGAAAGCAGGGTTTAAATGGCTCAGAATCACTTAAACCAAATGACTCAGCTGTTACTTGTGAAGAGCAAAAGGCAGGGGTTTAAATGGCTCAGGGCCATCTAAACATCTGTTTTCTGCGCTACACGAACTGCTACAAACGGCAACCAAATTCATGGAAGTATGTGGCAACTCTTCAGTCTGTGAACATCCTTCCTGAATCATGAAGCAGCTAAAATTCGTGATGAGCTTTAGTTCATCAGTGGGTTCATGCCAATCTCTAGTGTTCCCTCTGAGTCACCTAGCTCACAGTTTTTAGCCTTCAGCTCACACGTTTTTGTCTTAGCTCAGGAAGGATGGTTCCAGAACAAGCTAATGTATACCGTAGCCAAATCACTCGCTCACAACTTTAATGCCAGTAGCTCACAAAGTAGAATTTTTGCTCACAAGACTCCACGGCTTAGAGGGAGCAATCCAGCCTTGTTCCATCTACACTGCCTTCCAGTTTGCTTATGGGCTCAATTCAGGGTGCTAATATTGATCTTTACAAGAAGAAGAAGTTGGATTTTATCAGGGCTCTTTTTGTAGAAAAAGCCCAGCAGGAACTCATTAGCATAATAGGCCACACCCAACAGCAGGAACTCATTAGCATATTGGGCCACACCCCTGACAGCACAGCTCATTAGCACATTAGGCCACACCCCCATGTTACCAGAAGTGTGGTCATCCAGCCACACCCACCTTTTGCTTGTTATTCTGTTTACCTTGTTTGTTGTCAAAACCCAGGGCCTTTTTTTGTAGCAGGAACTCCTTTGCATGTTAGGCCACACACCCTTAATGTAGCCAGTCCTAATGAGTTCCTGCTGTTGGGTGTGGCCTGTTATGCTAATGAGTTCCTGCTGGGCGTGGCCAACTTGGGAGCCAGCCGGAATTCCGTTCCTGTGCGTTCCTGCCCAAAAATAGCCCTGGATTTGATAACCTGCCCTTCACTACCCAAAGGAGTCTCAGAGTGGCTTACAATCTCCTTTCCCTTCTTCTCCCCACAACAGACACCCTGTGAGGTAGGCAGGGCTGAGAAAGCTCTGAGGGAACTATAACTGACCCAAGGTCACCCAGCTGGCTTCATGTGAAGGAGTGGGGAATCAAACCCAGTTCTCCAGATTAGATTGTGTCACTCTTAACCACGACACCAGGCCTTCAACTAGGAGCCGCCCCCAATAGCTGGAATGGCAGAGAACCCTGTCCCTTGGAGTCAGCCGAAACAGCCTGTGCCAGTCGCACAACTATGGGCCAACCACTAGGATAGACCACTGAAGGTTGGCCGCCATCAGGGCTATTTCTGGGTAAGAACACACAGGAACGGAGTTTCGGCTGGCTCCCGAGTTGGCCGCGCCCAGCAGGAGCTCATGAGCATAACAGGCCACACCCAACAGCAGAAACTCATTAGGATTGGCTACATTAGGGGTGTGTGGCCTCACATGCAAAGGAGTTCCTGCTACAAAAAAGGCCCTGGTTTTTGACAACAAACAAGGTAAACGGAATAACAAGCAAAAGGTGGGTGTGGCTGGATAACCACACTTCTGGCAACACAGGGGTGTGGTCTAATGTGCTAATGAGCTGTGCTGTCGGGGGTGTGGCCTATTATGCTAATGAGTTCCTGATCGGCTTTTTCTACAAAAAGAGCCCTGGCCGCCATCATCTAATAATCGAATTATATTAATTTATTAGTATTATTTAATGTCTAGCACCTTTTAATGTTGGATTGTTGTATATGGTTTATATGTTTTTAGGGTTGTTTACATTGCTTACTTGTGTGTTTTTATTCTTTTATGTAAGCCGTCCTGAGCTGGCTTTGGCTGGGAGGCAGGGTATAAATCTGATAAATAAGTCACCAAACTGGCTCCCCAAGCCCTGTATGGGCTGGGACCAGCATCTCTTAAGGACTGCCTCCTCCCATATGGACCTACTAGTACACTCCAGTCATCTTCAGAGGACCTGCTTGGTGGCCTCTGCCATCTGAAGCGAGATGGGCTGCAACCCGAGAAAGGGCCTTCCTCGGTCGTGGCACCAAAATTTTTTTCCCCAAAAAAACTTTTATTTTGGATTAACAAGTTCAACATTTATCAATCAACCGTTAGATCCATTTTTTTTAACCCCTCCCTCCCCCCTTTCGGTGGCTTCCCGCAATGCTTCTCCCTGCCCACAAATATTTTCGCATTTCAAGGTAACATGTTTTTTTCCTTACAGCTTAAACCTTAGTACATTTCAGTCCTAGTAATTGTCTAAATACAGTATAGTATTTTTAACATCCCAATTTCTTTCTAGATATTCTTTAAAGTCTTTCCATTCTTCAAAAACATCTTTATCTTCTTTGTTGTTTAACTTCTTAGTTAATTTGTCCATTTCTGCCATAAATAGGACTTTCTGTATCCATTCCCATTTATCTGGAATTTTCTCCTGTTTCCAACATTGTGCATATGTCATTCTTGCCGTAGTAATTAAATACCATAGCAATGTCTTTTTTTGTACATTTACTTCTTCCATCTTTAAACCTAGAAGTAGTATCTCCGGTTCTTTCTTAAAGTTACATTTCAAATTTTTTTGCATTTCTTCATGAATTTCTGTCCAAAAAGTCACAGCTTTGTCACATGTCCACCACATATGGTAAAAGGAGCCTTCTTTTTTCTTACATTTCCAACATTTGTTAGACATATTTTCGTTCATATATGCTATTTTCTTTGGAGTCATGTACCACCTATACATCATTTTATAACAGTTTTCTTTTATATTAGTACATGTTGATATTTTAATAGTGGCACCAAAACTTTTGAGCTCCCTCCTCAGGGAGGTTCCTCTGTCTCCCTCTATTGGTGTCTTTCACCAGCAGGTTTCTTCTGGCATACCCCCAATAATGGTTACCGGCCCTCCTCCTAGGTGGTGTAGTGTACACTTTTGGTGTAGTGGTTAGGAGTTTGGTGTAGTGGTTAGCCTAGTTTGTTTCCCCACTCCTCCACATGTAGCTGCTGGTGTGACCTTGGGTCAGTTGCAAGTCCTTTCAGAGCTGTTCACTCAAGGGCAGTTCTCGAAAGAACTCTCTCAGCCCCACCTACCCCACAGGGTGTCTGTTGTGGGGAGGGGAAGGGAAAGGAGATTGTAAGACTCCTTCAGGTAGTGAAGGGTGGGGTATAAATCCATTTTTTCCTCCTCCTCCTTTGAATTATTTATAATTTAAACCGTATTTTTAATTGCTCATTTTTTGATGTTTGCCACCTTGTGGACCCTGATTGGGTGGAAAGATGACACAAACATGTTTTTTTTAATTATTATTACATTCAAAAATTAAAACAATGGTACAGCAACACCAATTAAACAAACAAAAAAGAACAAAACAAAGAAAAGGGCCTTACGTTATATATAACAAGTATAAAGTTCTTTTGGAATTTCTCTGTTCTTTGCCAAATAATTTAAAATAGGGGCACAAACATGTTTTAAAAGAATAAAATAAAAATGTGATGAGTTTACACCATGGAAGTGTGGAAAGTTGATTTAACAATAAAAACTGACCTTTAGGGTAAAGTCTAAAGCCCTAGCTAATAATGTCTCTGATAGACTGATAGAGAAATGATCCACGTTTCTCAGGTATAGGAATGATAAAGTTCATGCTAAGGCTACACCTTTGCTATAATTCAGATACAAGTTGATGAAATGGGTGGCTGTTTGGGGTGTGTGCATTTGATAATTTCATAATTCTCAAATACACACATTATATGTTTATTCAGGGGTCATTTCGTAGAAAAAGAGCTAGGGGAACTCATTAGCATTACTCATTAGCATATGCCCCACCCCCTGACATCAGGGGCCCAGCGGTGGACCTGCAAGGCCAGCGGGAGTGCGAGGAAGCCCCGCCAAGGCCCTCCCTGGCCCCAGGCAGGCAGGGGTGGGGAGAGGCGGGGAGGAAGCAACTTACCCTCCCTCTTCTCCTGCCTCCTCCTGGCTGAATGAGGGCTGGAAGCGGGGTGGCCGGAAGCAGGGGGCGGGGCTTCGTCATGTGCCCCGCCCCCGGTACCTCACCCGGGGGAACTGCGTCCCCCCGCGTTCCCCCCCGAAATGACCTCTGTGTTTATTTTGTACTTTTTGTAAATAGACTTCGTATGATGAAAAGTATTTTTTAAAAGAATGGCAGTGGGGAGGGCCGTGTTTGCTCCCCTGAGATCCTTGGCAGAAGAATGAGATAACAACCAGTTGCATTTCAGCAAGTGCCTAAAGAGTTCTCTCTTCTCTCTCCCCTCTCCAAACTTGACTGCAGTACGTTCAACTGGACAGTCCCTTTCCTTTCTGTCCTTGCGTGCTTAATCTTTGCAGTGGCCACAGTCCTGCTGTATTACATACCACTGCGGTACATCGTTTTACTCTGGGGTAAGTTTGTGCCGTCGCTTCTGCATCATTTATTCGTGGAGTTTCACATGGTGCAGATGTGTCTTGATGATTTTCATTCTGTTGCTTTCTTTATTTTTTTGTTTCCTTTTGCTTTTGCTGCTTGCAACCGGTGGAAATGGTATTTGTTGCAGGCTGCCCTGTGGACTCCTTGAAGAGAATGTCATAAACAGATTTGTAAAGATACAGAACTCCACATTGCAACAGAAGGGAAAACCCGGAAGTGACAAAAAGAAGCTCTAGGAATCGCCGGAAACTCTATGGTAAAACCATAGAGTTTCTGGCGATTCCTAGAACTACCCTATGCCACTTTCAAGTCAGTGATGTTGCCTTTTTTATCTTATCTTTCTCCCACTGCCACTCAGAGAAGCAGTGGACAGCAAGGTTTGCTAAGGGGACGCCTCCCACCATAGCGGGATGGCTGGCAAGCCTACAATTGGTTGCCATACTGCAGTATACCCTACTGGGACAGACAGTAGCTCTTCAGAGGCTCAAGCAGAGTAAGATCTTTCTCATCTCCTCTTACCCTAAGATCTTAAAATTAGAGAAGGCAGGGATTGAACCTGGGGCCTTCTGCCTAAAAAGCCAATGCTCTACCACTAAGCCATGGCCCCTTCTCAACTGAAGAACTCCAGTCGCAGGGCTAGGGGAGAAACTCTCTAGAAGGCGGGGCAGAAATGCGTTAATCAAATAATGGATGTAATTTGCTAATGCAAGGGTTTCCTTCTTGACCTCTGTTTTTGTTGTTCTTGTTTATATTCCACTTTCCTTTTTCCCTGAGACCCTCTTTCACTTTGTCCTCACAACAACAACCCTGCGAGGTCAGTTTGGCTGAGAGGTTGCAACAGGCCCCAAATCACCCAGGAATAGGGTTGCCAAGTCAAAATGTCTTACCGGCAGGGGAACCTCGCCGGGCTCTGGGAGCCGTTGTTCTATGTGCGCGCGCGCCGCCAGCACGCCACCGGAAGTGACGCGCGACGTCGATCACGTTGAAGGCGTGGCCCTGATCGTCAGAGGGAAAACCATAGAGTTTTCCCTCCGACAATCGGGGCCACGCCCCCAATGTGACTGACGCCATGCTGCACTTCTGGGGGCAGAGTTCCCCCCAGGGCCCAATTCCACGGCGGCGGAAATCGGGCCTCCGAAGCGGGGGTTTACCCGCCCCCCGCCCCTACTTGGCAGCCCTACCCAGGAAGCTTCCACAGCACAGTGGGGATTCAAACTCGGTTGTCCCAGGCCCTAGGCCAATGTTCCTATCCCCAATGCCACGTTGGCTGTCTTTTGCAACCTGAGTACAGAACCCCCCTAGCATGTCCACTGTGAAGGGCCACGGAACATGTAAATCACCGCTTTCCCCTTTTGAGAGTGCCCAGAGGTGGCTGCCTTCACAGTTCTATGCCCCAGGGCACCAGGTTCAGTTCTCCATTTCCAGTAACAACATATGGCCCTTAGTTTTGGGCTGTGGCTGTTCCTGCTCCTGGGCTGATTTAGAATAACGGGACTTTTTTCATCGCTAAGGCAAGCAGTGGGGCTGCAGTGGCTCAAGTGGTTAAGACACTGAACTGCAGGCTGGAAGGTCGGTAGTTCGGCAGTTCGAGACCCGAGTGCCGCATGACGGAGTGAGCTCCCGTCTCTGGCCCCAGCTCCTGCCAACCTAGCCGTTCGAAAGCAAGAAATTGCAGGTAGATAAATAGGTACCGCTTCGGTGGGAAAGTAACGACGTTCTGTGCGCCTCGGCGTCTAGTCATGCCGGCCACATGACCACGGAGAAGTCTTCCGACAGCACTGGCTCTTCAACTTGGAAACGGTGATGAGCAGTGTTCCCTCTAAGCTGAGTTAGTGTGAGCTAGCTCACAGTTTTTTAGCCTCCGGCTCACACATTTTTGTCTTTACTCAGGAAGGATGACTCCAAAGCAAACTACTGTATGCAGTAGCCAAACCGCTCGCTCACAACTTTAATGTCGGTAGCTCACAAAGTAGAATTTTTGCTCACAAAACTCCACAGCTATGAGGGAACATTGGTGACGAGCACTGCATCCCTAGAGTCAGATCCGACTGGCTTTCGAGCAGAGCTGCTTGGCAATGAACCTCCTACCACTTCCTTCAAGAACAGACATCTGTGAATGATACCACATGATGGCGACACGGGGTTCAGCTTGTCTGAATTTTTGTGCTGCTTTTTTTTGGGGGGGGGTCTGTATTGTAAAACTCTCTTCTCCCCAGCCCGCCCTACCTGAGGAAGTAAAGCATTCATATGGTTGTATGTGTGTGTGTTAACAATTTTTGTGTTTCCCCCACCCCCTTTCTCAGGCATAAATAAATTTACAAAGAAGCTCAGAAACCCCTACGCCATTGAGAATAACGAGTTACTCGATTTCCTCTCCCGGGTGCCGTCGGATGTTCAAAGGGTAAGTAATGGACGGAGGCCTCCCTCAAAGGCCCCAGGCCAGGTATGAAGATCTGTTGGAAGTTACAAGTTAGAACACTTCTATTCAGTATTTACTGAGTTAATATTGTGTTCTGAATCACATGTTTGTTTGTATCCTATCTGCTTAGAGAGTTAGAAAGCCCGCCAGATACAGATCTAGTTTGTTGTCCTGATTGGAAGATAGAGTGGCTAGTATTAGCATTTTATGACCCTTTGTCCAGAGCTAAGAAGAAGCTCCACTCTCCATTAGACCTTAGCCATGTAAGGAAGTCTATCTAGACATGAGGATGTAGAAATAAAGCTCTTTGTTATTTTACCTCCTGTTTACCCTACCCTTGATAGGTTGTTAGTAAACTTTTATATTTTGAAACTACCATGGACTCAGACTCATTTTTACTCTGCTAACTCTGCTGAATTAAGAAATTAAGAAATTAAATACTAAACTATCTAACAGGTTATGGGAAGCCCAGATGTTTTCCCACTAGCAGAGTTGTTTTTGAGCCATGTGTATTAGAACTTAAGAAAAAACAGAAAAGAATTTTTTGAAACTTTTTCTGGGACAAGAGAGAGTCTTCTTTGTTTTTTCTCGAGTCTGCAAAGCCTTGTGCTTGCAGAACAGAGAAGCAAGAGGAACTTCAGCCCCTGCTGTGAAACTATCTCCGCAAAACAAAGGATTTTCCCAGAGAGCTGAACGACAGCGCCTGAGGGAACGAAGGAGATCACAAGCAACCCCCGATCGATCCCAGACGACCGACGTCTTCACCTCTACAAAGGGAAGTTGGTAAAGTAAATAATTAAAAAAAAAATATGGCGTCTGCACACAGTTATAACCTACCGAAATTATCAGCCAGTAATTATCGGTTTTGGAAGGAGTGCTTAAAATGCATTTTAGAGGCCACATCTGCGAGTTATGTGTTAACCCAGGATGCTCCAACGGGCAATGCGGATCAACTTAAAAAGTTTAAAGAGAAGGATGGACATGCCCGTGCTTTAATCCTTGGGAATGTTGTGATTAGTGACAATCAAAGGCTATTAACATATCAAACAGCAAAGGAAATGATTTTGCATTTAGATCGCAAGTATGCTGCGAAGTCGAAAGCAAATAGTATCTTTCTTAAACAAAAGCTGTTTAATAGCAAAATGCAAAAGGGAGACACAATGAGTGTACATTTAAGTAAGATAATTAATATCTATGATGACCTTAAAATGATTAATGACCCTCCCTCCGAGAGTTCAATGGTTGCCGTTATTTTAAATTCATTGCCTGAGAATTATGAAGTTCAGATTGCCCATTTACGTGATAAAGAGGATCTGAGCGTGGATCAAACAATTTGTTACCTGGAATCTGAGGCTTTCAGAAGGGAACAAATGAATGTTAATGAAAGTGTGTCTGTACTTAAGATCAGTGACTCTCGCTACAAAGGGAATGCAAAGAAAGCCGTTAAATGTTTTGTATGTTCCCGAGCCGGCCATTTGTCGCGGGATTGCTGGTACAGAAACGACTTTAAAGATCAAAAGGATACAGACATGCGCTCTCCCTCTACTCCAAAACCTAGAAACGCCAGAGGGCGTGGCAATGGGAAGCCAAACGGTCATCAGGGGCAGGAAAAATCCAAGCCTGTGTTTCTCCTGAGAGAGGCTGTGCCAGAAACTGCAGGAAAGCGAGCCGAATGTGCGAATGTGCTTGCTGTAAACATTAATCATAGCAGAGAATACAGTGATGAATCACTGTGGCTACTGGACACAGGGAGTGCCGTCCACATTTGCAACAGTGCTGAATATTTTGTTGATCTGAATAAAGATGAGATGCCCAAACTGATCAAAGTTGATAATGAACCATTGAGAGTTGCTGGAACAGGAAAGATTTTTCTTAATGTGTTAAATTCTGCTGGCCAAATTCAGCAAATGACTTTAAATGATTGTGTATTTGTGCCTGAAGCTAGTACTTGTCTGATCTCCTCAAGGAGAATTATTGCTGCTGGTTTTAACATTAATCTTAAAAAGGGACAAGGAAAAATTTGGCACAAAGATGGAGTCGAGCTCATTATGGAAGAGCACGACAGTTACCATTATGTAAGAAATCTTGGCATAACTGAAAATGATGAACTGGACACAAGTGGACCTGTGTTTCACACAAAATCATCTGAATGTGAGCACAAAGACTGTTTATTTAAATGGCATGTGATGTTTGCTCACAGAAATTTACAAAGTGTGAGAAAGCTTCTGAAGGGCTGTAATATTGATGCTGTTGAATGCAATACTATTAGTAATGGTTGTGATACCTGTTTTAAGGCAAAAGGCAAAGCGCCTTGTTACAGAGGCAAAAATCCAGAACAAGATAAAGGTTTTCTAGAGACTGTGTACTCAGATCTTGTTGGCCCTATCAAACAATCTACTGGTGGTAGTAAATACTTTGTGACTTTTATGGAAGCAAAATCCAGATATGTCTATACCTACCTACTTAAAAGTAAAGACCAAGTACTTGACAAATTTAAGTGCTATGTTGCTGCTGTTAAAAATAAATTTGGCAAAGCGCCTGAAGTGTTATTCACTGACAATGGCACAGAGTATTGCAGCAGTGAGTTCCAAAGGTTCATGGAACAAGAAGGAATTGAACATCAAACAACTATTGTTTATTCTCCAGAACAAAATGGAACAGCGGAACGCTTAAACAGAACCATACTAGAAATGGCGCGTTCTATGCTAATACAATCTGGAATTTCAGAAGATATGTGGGGTGAAGCAGTCAATACAGCTACTTACCTGCACAATAGAGTTCCATCTAAAACTACAAATAAAATTCCTTTTCAATTATGGCATAACAGGATGCCTGGACTTAAACACATTAAAGCATTTGGATCTAAAGCCTATGCCCACATTCCAAAAGAGAAAAGGGGCAAATTAGAGCCAAGAGCAGAAATTGGTATCCTAGTGGGGTACGCTCAAGGAGGAAAAGGCTACCGAATTTTTGATTCTACAAACTGTGTAATTAGAGAATGCAATGTGGTACATGTTGATGAGAGTAACATCCTGCAAACTCCTAAGCCAGCTGAGTCCACAGCACAACCTGTCAATCAGGAATCTACAGATGTCTCTTTCTTTGATGTGATCACTTGGCAATCTGCAGAGACCACCTGTGACCAGGCAGGTCCATCTCCACAAGAGGATTCCACCTCAGAAGGGGAACAAGGGAATTCCACCTCAGAAGGGGAACCAGGAGAGGCAACGCCAAGGGTAAGAGAGACAACTGCTGTGAGACAATCAGCAAGGAGTACCAAAGGTGTTCCACCACCAATGTACGGAATTTGTGCAAGTGTGCAACAAATAAAGGAACCTACTAACTGGAAGGAAGTTAATCAACTACCTGCATCTGAAAGAAGCAAGTGGATTAATGCCATGGAAGAAGAATTTGCATCTTTGCAAGACAAACAAGTTTGGACTCTTACTGAGTTACCTTCAGAAAGAAAAGCCATCGGCTGTAAGTGGGTGTACAAAGTGAAGTATAACCCTGACGGCGAAGTGGACAAGTACAAAGCTCGTCTTGTCGCAAAAGGATTTTCTCAAAAATATGGAATCGATTTCTCGGAAACTTTTGCACCTGTTGTAAGCTACACAACCTTCAGAACACTTTTGAGCATAGCAGCCTCAAGGGGCATGCACATTGAACATTTGGACGTCAAAACTGCGTTTCTCAATGGAGAATTGAATGAAGAAATCTACATGGAACAACCAGAAGGATTTTCAACAAAAGGACAAGAAGGCCTAGTGTGCAAACTCAACAAAAGCGTTTATGGACTAAAGCAAGCAGCAAAAGCGTGGAATGAGAAACTGACTGAACTGTTACAAAAACAGAACTTTCAACAAGGAATAGCAGAACCGTGTTTGTTCTCAAGAATCAAAAATGGACAATATCAGTACATACTCATTTATGTTGATGACTTGATTATTTGTTGTGAAAATCAAGGAGATGTACAGGAAATAGCAGATGAACTAAACAAGGAAGTGGAAGTGAAACAATTGGGACCTATAAAACACTATCTTGGAATACAAATTGAAAGAACTGATGATGGAAGTTTTCTTCTAAGCCAAAAGCAAAAGATCATGGACTTTATTGAATCTGTAGGAATGAAACATTCCAAGCCAGTGAGCACACCTCTTGAAAAGGATTACCTCAAGAATACAGAGGGACCACTACTTCCAAATAACCACGAATACAGATCAGCAATAGGAAAATTATTGTATCTTAGCAAAATTTGTCGACCAGACATAACTTCAGCTGTTGGACTATTATGCAGAAAGACCAGCTCACCGACTATCCATGACTGGAAAGCTGTAAAAAGACTGGCAAGATACCTAAAAGGAACTTTGGATTACAAACTGAAAATCTCATCCTGTGATGAACCAAGACTGACTGGATTCATGGATGCCAACTGGGGAAAAGACACAACTGATGGAAAATCTACAAGTGGATACTTATTCTACTATGGAAACAGTTTAATTGACTGGACTAGTCAAAAGCAATCTGTTGTAGCGATCTCTACTGCAGAAGCTGAATGTGTATCAGCGCAAAGTGCCAGCTATGAACTGTACTGGATCATTCATCTACTGAAAGACTTTGGAATAGACGAACCGAAACCAATAATAATGTATGAGGACAATCAAGCTTGCATCGTTCTCTGCAAAGGTGAGAGCACCAAATCCAAGAGTAAGACCATTGCTCTTCAATGCAAATATGTGAAAGACTTACAAGACAAAGGACTCATTGAACTTCGTTACTGTCCTACTGACCAGATGACTGCCGACATCCTGACCAAGCCGCTTGACAAGCAACGTTTTGAGAATCTTCGTGAAAGTTTAAATTTGCATGATTTCAGTGTTATAACTTGAGAAGGGGTGTTGGAAGTTACAAGTTAGAACACTTCTATTCAGTATTTACTGAGTTAATATTGTGTTCTGAATCACATGTTTGTTTGTATCCTATCTGCTTAGAGAGTTAGAAAGCCCGCCAGATACAGATCTAGTTTGTTGTCCTGATTGGAAGATAGAGTGGCTAGTATTAGCATTTTATGACCCTTTGTCCAGAGCTAAGAAGAAGCTCCACTCTCCATTAGACCTTAGCCATGTAAGGAAGTCTATCTAGACATGAGGATGTAGAAATAAAGCTCTTTGTTATTTTACCTCCTGTTTACCCTACCCTTGATAGGTTGTTAGTAAACTTTTATATTTTGAAACTACCATGGACTCAGACTCATTTTTACTCTGCTAACTCTGCTGAATTAAGAAATTAAGAAATTAAATACTAAACTATCTAACAAGATCCATCAGGTGGAGATGTTGGAGGAACACAATGCAAAGGGGGCTTTGGACTAGCAGGAAGAGGAGGGACCTGAAGAAGTCAGGGCTAGGGATGGAGGGATAAGGTTGCCAGCCTCCAGGTAAAGGTAAAGGTTTCCCTTGCTCGAAAGCCAGTCGTATCCGACTCTAGGGTTGCGGTGCTCATCTCCATTTCAAAGCCGAAGAGCCAGCGCTGTCCGAAGACGTTTCCGTGGTCATGTGGCCGGCACGACTAAACACCAAAGCGCACGGAACGCTGTTACTTTCCCACCGAAGTGGTCCCTATTTATCTACCTGCAATTTCTTGCTTTCGAACTGCTAGGTTGGCAGGAGCTGGAACTAGAGATGGGAGCTCACTCCGTCATGCGGCACACTCGGGGTCTCGAACTGCTGAACTACTGACCTTCCACAGCCTGCAGTTCAGCGTCTTAACCACTTGAGCTGCCGCAGCTCCGAGCCTACAGGTGGGGCCTGGACATTTCCTGGCTTCACGAACTGATCTCCACACTAAAGAGAACAGTTGCCCCGTAAGAAATGGCGGTTTTGGAGGGCCGATGGGCCCTATGGCATCCCTTCCCTGCCGAGCTCCGTCCTGTCCCCAAACTTGGCCACCCCCCAGGATTTTCCAGAGCTGGAATTGGCAGCCCGAAGGAGAAGGGAGGGACGAAAGAGAGCCCTTCTCTTCTATGCTGATTGCCTGACTGTCGATCTCTCTATCATCTATCCCTCCCGTACCTTTTTGTCCACTGTGGGGCCCCGATTTATCCTCATAGCACCCCTGCAAGGTAGGTCATTGGAGAGATTGTGACTGACCCAAGGTCACTCCATGGTGGAGTGAGGATTTGAGCCTGTGCATTCCAGATTTTAGTTCACCTCACATCACTGGCTCTCTAAAGGGGCCACTGCTCAGTGGTAGAGCCTCTGCTTGGCACGCAGAAGGTCCCGGGTTCAATCCCCGGCATCTCCTGTTGAAGGACCAGGCAGTAGGTGATGTGAAAGACCTCTGCCTGAGACCTGGAGAGCCATGGAGAGGAGCTGTGGCTCAGTGGTAGAGCATCTGCTTGGCTCGCAGAAGGTCCTGGGTTCAATCCCCGGCATCTCCAGTTGAAGGACCAGGCAGTAGGTGACGTGAAAGACCTCTGCCTGAGACCCTGGAGAGCCATGGAGAGGCTCAGTGTGCCTCGGTGTTTAGTCATGCCAGCCACATGATCACGGAAACGTCTTCGGACAGTGCTGGTTCTTCGGCTTTGAAACGGAGATGATCACCGCAACCCTAGAGTCGGATTCGACTGGCTTTCGAGCAAGGGAAACCTTTACCTTTACATAACCACTACACCAAACTGGCTACTATACCAAGAAGTAACCCTTGAAGAATTATGTTTCTCACTTTATAGAATGGAATCCCTGTTTTGTTTTGTTTTTGTGATGTGGTTTATGAATTCCCTTCTTCTTTTTTGCATTTGAACCCAAGGTTACAAGGGAGTTCTGTGGAGCAGTCATTGGGAAGGCCAAGAGCATCCCTCCTTTTGGTGGACTCAATACTGACTTAGTTTTTTTTTAGCTCGTCCCGATATATAAAGTAATTACATCTGCATTCACTTCTCCTGCCCCGTTCCTGGCTTCTGGAGAGTCCAGGATTTGCAGCGGTGCTCATGCATGAATACATATTGGCAACGATAAGCTACCTGTCTGTTGATGTTGCATTTTACGACTTGCCTTTATGAAGTGTGCCTTGAATGGCTTCTCTGATCCTCTCTAGGTCTCCAGGGTGGTGGGAGACAAAAGTTGGGTGATGGTGGCCGTGAGCTCAGATGTATTAGCCGAGGAGACTCGTGGTTGCACAGTGCAATCCTCAACAGAGTAAACAACCAAAATGCAGAAGTCCTCCCAGTATATATCTCAGATAATCATTTAGAAAATATATTGAAAAGATACATTAGATAATACCAAATGCCCAGAATACATTATCAAATATGAAGACCAAAATTCTACAGTGACAAAAATTCAGGTCCAACATTTACACCCACAAAGTTTCAAAAATTCAGGCCCAAAGATTAAATACAGGTCCAGAGATTTACGAAGAGTCTGGCTTCAACTTCGTTTTGAAGAAAGACTTCATCAGAAGTGATTAAGCAGTGTGAACTTATTTCTTATTATTCGGGCAAGTAGATAATTCTTTATGTTGCTATGTAGTTGTCATCTGGGACTAGCCCTTCCCTGCCTTAGAGCTAAAAGCACGTTGTTACGAAGATCTGCCCTTTGATAAGAAGTGTCTAAACCTATGGAAGGGCCAGTCCCAGATAACTTTTCAATAATTATCTGCACTTGATAGCGACTTCCCCAGTTTGAATCCTGAACAGAGTTACATCCTTCTTAATGTGCTAGAAGTTAGTGGGCTCAGAGGCATATAACTTTGCTGAGGATTGCCCTGTTGGTGTCAAACAGGATGCCATGGCAGACATGAAGCTCTCCTCCTCCACTGTATGTCTGCAACAACCCTGTAAGGTTGGTTAGGCTGAGAGAGTCTGACTGGCCCAGCGAGCTTCCATGGTTGAGTGGGGATTCGGACCTGGGTCCCCCAGATCCTAGTCTGACACTCTAACTGCTATCCCTCACTGTCTCGGACCAAGAAACCCTGTTCGCCCAGCTCAGTAGCTGCCTAACGCACTAACCAAAGCAATTGCATCATTATTTCAAGGACTGTTCCAGCTTGGACGCAGCAAAACTCTGTGCTGTACCACGTCATGGGAAGAGGGCCTCGTTTCTTTATCAGCCCTTGAGGGAGAGAGCAAATCTTTTTTTTGGGGGGGGGAAATGGGGTAGGGAAGGCAACAGCGGAATAAATCCTTTCTTAACAAATGCCCATCTATTGTAGTTTGTATGAGGACATTCGGGCAGCCTATTTGGAAGATATTCTTAAGAATGATGCCAAGCAATCCGATGACAGAATGTTGTATCGTTTACTGGCTTCACAAAACACAGTGGTTATTTGAAGCGGTTGCTAAGTTTCGTAACTGCCTTATAATGAGGAAGATGTGTGTTAAACCCATACTGAACAAATGCCCATATCAGGTAGAAGTCCCCTCTCCTTCCTCGCCACCCCTAGTGCATCTCATTAGGCAAAAAAAAAGGGGGTCTGGTTTTAATATTTTGGTTTTCAAGAAATGATGCATGACTTCTCAAATCCTTCCTGCAATTAATCCCCACCACCACCACCACCAATGTTACTGTGTTTAGAAAATGATTCATTACTTTTGAACCTGCCTTGGTTTTTTCCCCTGGCTTTTTTTCCTTGGGGAGCCATTAACCGGGCAGGCCGGCGTGAGCTTGGGTTACCTCCTTGCAAACGTGACGCCTGTTTGTTTTTACAGGTGCAGCAGGCTGAATTGAAACCATGCAGCGGGTCCAGCCCCATTAGGAAGAAACGGAGTGTTTTATAGGTGCGGGACCCCATCTGCCCCGACGCCCTTGTGCACAGCCCCCCCCCGCGCGCGAACCTTTGGATCAGAGCAACGTTGTGATCACAACCTGGATGTAAACACGTCTTTGGAAGAAAAGGATTGCATAAGCAACCTTCCTGCAAAACGAGCTCCCATCCAAATGGAGTTGGAACAGCACAAAGCCGATGACTTCCAGTACGGATTTTGGAGATGCTGGACTTTTTTTTTGGCTTGTACCGTGTGAAAGCCATTTTCCCAACAAAACCGTGATATTCCAAACTTTAGAAAAAGAAAGTCCACATGGAGAGATGGGGGGGGGGGGCATGTCTTCGCTTAGCCGCATGACTGAGTGTCGATGGATTGATTTTTTTTAAGTCCAAAGCCTTTGATGCCCAACTTCTTCAGATGTTTTTAAATGTCGTTTTATGGTAAAGGCAAGGGAATGCTTATGCGCTCAAACGTTCTCACTTTTTCTCGCCCAGAGATTGCTGCTGCTGTGCTTATTGGAAACTGCCATTAACTGTCAGGATCCCGATTTTTCTGAATTAGAAGTTCATTGCAGGCAATGGACACCCTGAAGCTACCATTTAATGGGAGCACAAGAATCAGATGTCTCCCAATGGCCCTACGGACACTCCCGATTTGCCTTCTAGGGTTCCTTCTCATCAGACTTTTCCTGATGATCCAAAGAGATGCCAACACTACAGATGCAAAATCCTTTTTTATAATCTTAGAACTGCGTTGTTTAAAAGGACATTTTTTTTCAAAAAAAAAAGTATAAGAAAAAATTGCTGGTGGTTTTTATATTTCTTCAAGCACTGTGAGAGTGTCCAGTGGAACTCACTGCCACGAGATAGAGCGATGGCTGCTAGCTTTAAAAGGAAATGAGACAAATTCTTGGCAGGCAGGTTCATTGGCGGTTAAATGGTGGTTAAGTGGAACCCGTGTTCATATGGAGCAGCCATCAGGGGTAGGTGCTGGTGAGCCCTCCAAGGTATCTGATTGGCCAGTGCTGGAAACAGGATGCTGGTCTAGATGGATTATTAGTCTGACCCAGCAGGGCTTGTCTTTTAACATTCTTCTGTTGGGATAGCATTTTAACATGACTAGTGCAATCCAGGGCGGGTCCCATTCTAATGCTTCCTTGCATCTTTTAGTAAATATGATGGCTTTTCGACTTGGGTCTGTAAGCTTGGGTCTTAAGCAGTTATTCGTTAGTCGGAACACTGTTTGGAGGCTGGACCTAGAGTTGTGAGTAAAAATCTCCCACCGTTGTCTCCTTTTTGTGCCACGTTACTTGGCCGGCAGGCACAGTTTCTGCGGGTGCAAGCAGTTTTAGTATTCCGTTCCCAGGTAAGGTTTCAAAGTGGGATATTCCTTTTATAAAAATCCAGACAGGAGGAGATGAGCATCATCTTGTGATCTTCCTGGAGGCCTCTGGCTAGCATCTCTCTCGGAAGCAGAGTGCTGGACTGGATCTTGGTCTGGTGCTGCAAAGCATCCGTATGTTCTTAAAGCTCCCGTAAAGCAGCAGAATGGAGATGTTTTTCATTAAAAAAAAAAGGAGGATGGCCTTGTGAATGTTGTTGGATGGATTTGGCTGCAGTTTCTTATATAATCCTCTTCCAGCAGATCAGATTTGCATTTGGTGCACTGCAGGATCAGCATGTCTTAAACCACAGTTCCCCAACCTGGTGCCCGTGGGCACCATGACAACGACCAACACTTTTTCCTGGTGCCCACCAAGTGTTTTTTAGGAAATAGATGGGGTTGGGGGACGATCTAGCCCAGCAATGCTTCTGATTGGCCATTGGAGATTTGAGTCACTGTGCAGAGTTTAGAAAACGGGTGGGGCCGGGGGACCACAAGGCTTCTGATTGGCCACTGGAGATGTGATTGACTGTGCAGGTTCCAAAAAAGATTGGGGACCCCGTCTTAAACCCACAAGCATCAAATCCTTACCTAAGAATAGATTTGCCTCCAGTGGGCTCTGTCCTTGCCCTCTTTAAGCTCCTGCTCTTCTTTGGTTCCTTGTAAGCATTTCTATGAAAAGTCAACGGAAAACTCCTTCTGGATTACATTTTTTTTTTTTTTTGGAGCCACTTGCTTTCTGTCAGATGTATTACCCTTAAGCATGACTTGTAGATGCGGTTTTAGAGGAGACTGAATTTTATAAAGGGAACATTTTGATGACTCAATAAAAATGAAGCGTATTTTATTGTAAAAGTTGGCAGTGCTCAGTGTGTATGGGTCTCTTTCTCCTGTCTCCCAAACTTTACCTATGTTGAAATATAATTATGCTCTGTGGTTCTTTATGGGTGTAAAAATAGCACTGTGTGTACACATGATCGCCCCTTAGTAGGAGCCGCTGCCACCATTATTCCACCAACGCTTATTCCATCACCGCACTCTACCACCGCTGGTGCGGGTATCATTGGGGGTGCGAGACGTCCCTGGCGGATGACAGGATTGTGGGGACATATACTGTTGTTGTTCTGTTCTAAGATCTTCAGAACACCATCTTGGCTTTATGGTTCGAAGTGAGTACTGGAGCACCGATTTTTATTTTTACTAATTTTAATAACTGTATTATGCTGTATCATTGTATTTTTATACTGTTTTTATTGTTTGAATTTGGCATCTATGCCCTTGTTAGCCGCCCTGAGCCTTCGGAGAGGGCGGGATACAAATCTAAGGAATAAATAAATAAAAATTAGATGTTAAGGGCTTCTCCCTAGAGAGGGCATCTCTCTGTGCATATGCGCAAAGCAGCCTCTCTATTGAAGCAAATACAACACAAGAACTCGTGGGCACTCCATGAAATTGCTGAGCGGTCGGGTTAGAACGGATAAAAGGAAGTACTTCTTCACCCAAAGAGTGATTAACACATGGCATTCACTGCCACAGGAAGTGGTGGCAGCTACAAGCATGGACGGCTTCAAAAGGGAATTAGATAAGCATATGGAGCAGAGGTCCATCAGTGGCTATTAGCCACAAGGTATAGATAGGGACTCTAGGGCAAGTGATGCTCTGTCATCTTGGTGCTTGGGGGGGTCAACAGTGGGATGGCTTCTAATGTCCTGGCCTCACTGGTGGACCTCCTGATGGCACTGGTATTTCTGGCCACTGTGTGATACAGAGTGTTGGACTGGATGGGCCTTTGGCCTGATCCAACATTGGCGTCTCTTATGTTCTTATGTTCTTATGTTAAGCAGATGGAAAAAATCAGCCAGTAGAGTAACTTGGTTTACACAGAGCAAGAACCAAGTAGCAACTTAAACACTAACAAAATTTGTGGCAGGGTATGAGCTTCATCACTGCTCACTTCTTCGGATGCAGCTAGAATGGGAGTCCATCTGTCCTATATATTGGAAAGTGGAGTGGTTTTAGATGCCAAATGACATTACCAGACAAATGACAATAGCAGGTGTGATTGGATTAGACGTGATATGTAGAAGGGTAGCAGGTGTGGAGAAATCAGCATTGGTAATTGAAAAGTACTGGGTTCGACGCATGGAGGACTCAGACCACAACGTGCGTTCAGACGTGTTTATTCCACTTCACAACAAGACACACCAAATGGCCCTGCAAGGCCAATTATATACACTCCACACGGCACGCCTCTGTCCCCATTGGAGGGTTTGACTCTCCCGCCAAGGGTTCTATTGGTGGACTCTCAGTGGAATAGGATCCTAGGTCCGCTTTGTGTTTGGGGACCAAGCTCCAGCTTTAGCCGCGGACCCCTTTTGGCAGTCCGCGTACGTAACAGTAATGAGATAGAAAACCTAGATCTCGATTCAGTCCAGCTGGATGTCTATCTCATTACCAATGCTGATTTCTCCACACCTACTAGCCTTCTGCATACCACACCTAATCCAATCACGTCTGCTAGTGTCCTTTGCCTGCTCATGTTAGTCGGCATCTGAAACCACTCCACTTTCCATTATATAGGACAGATGGATTCACATTCTAGCTGTATCTGAAGAAGTGAGCAGTGACTCACAAAAGCTCATCCTCTGCCACAAACTTTTTTAGTCTTTAAGGTGCTATTGAACTCTTGCGCTTTTTCTACTGCTGCAGACAAACTAACACGGCTGCCCATCTTGATATATCAGTTTACACAGGCATAGATCTTGGGTTCTGGATCAGAGGCAGGAGTTTTAACTCTGCAACTGGCTACACATAACTTGAGCAAATTGGTTCTAGTAGGACAAAGTACGAGTAACCAGTCTGTAGTTGGGTTCCCTCTCCCCACCCCAGTGTATGTAGTTGAGCAAATATATTGCTTTTATACAGGGCTAATTTCCTGCAGGAGCACACAGGAGCAGAGCTCCGGCAGTAAAGAGCCCAGGGGGCGGGCATATGCAACAAGCCCCACCCCCTGCTCCCAGCAGCCCTCAGTCAGAGCAAGAAGCAGCCAGGAAAGTTGCAGCCCCCCCATCCCCCCGGTCGAAGACAGTCCAGTGGCACCTTTAAGACCAGGTTTTATTCAGGTACAAGCTCTCCCTCCTCTGCGACGACAGATCTGCCCGTTCCCTCCCCCCATAGCTAGCAATTCAAAACATTCCAGTGGAGCCTGAGCGGTGGGTGTTGCCTTCTGACACACTTCCGGTGATGTCAGGGGAGTGGCATATGCAAATAAGTTATGCTAATGAGTTATGCTAATGAGCTCCTGCACCTCTTTTTCTACGAAATGACCCCTGCGTTTATAAAGTGAACACCGGAGAAGTGCTAAAGGTTTCCAAAACCAATCTCTGTTGTGTTGTACTGGTCACTCTGAGGCAGTTTGGTGTAGTGGTTAAGAGTGCGGACTCTAACCTGGGAGGGCTGGGTTTGATTCCCCACTCCTCCACATGCAGCTGCTGGGTGACCAAGCCACAGTTCACTCAGAGCTGTTCTTAGTCAGAGCTCTCTCAGCCCCACCTCCCTCACAGGGTGTCTGTTGTGGGGAGGGGAAGGGAAAGGAGATCGTAAACCACTCTGAGACTCTAAATGAAGGGCGGGGTATAAATCTAATCTCCTTCTTCTGATGCTATTCTGGTGTTATGGCATGGAATGTTCATGAACATTCTCAGCGATTCCAAAACACAGTCCAAGGTCTAGGAAGGAAGAGAATGTGGTCAGATCCCACTGAAAGCAGCCCCTCAGACATACCTTTAGAAGGGGCAGAGGTGACTTTTGTGGGGGTGGCTGAGAAGAAGGAAGAGTTCCTGGGAAGTTAAAGGGCAGGGTGCCAAGAAATATGAAAAAGAGGCTCAGTGGGGCTCAAGAAGGACTGTGGCAGGGAAA